GTACGGGGAATCACACTCAGTTCAGCACCGGTATCAATCAAAAATCGGATACCTGTGCTTTGGTCTTGGATGAATAAAAGACGACTGGGAAGGATGCCGGAAACAAGCGCCGTCATTACTGTCCGGCTTTGGGGTTTCCCTGTGAGGTGAACGAACAGGGTGGGGTGCATTTCTTGGCTCTGGGCCAAATTATTGGTGGTACCAGCAATGTTGAGGGTTGGAGCTGGCTGACAGGTGATTTCTATGGGTTTGTGAAGTCGAGCGACTTCGACTTCGACTGCGGCTTGATGACCGTGAGCGGGAGAGGTGAAGAACCAATTGCTGCATCTGCAGTTCAAGGTTTCCCATGCGTAAAGTGATATCATCACAGCGAGAGGCGGTCGGGGTTGGATTGGAGCAAGCGGTGATGTGATACGAAGCTGGGTTTGCATCGAACATTTTATCTGCGGCCAGTGCCATTTCATCCAAAGAACTGTTGGAGAGGACGGCTAAAACTTCTCGGATGCGTGGAGGGAGACGCTTCAACCAAAGCTGGCGGAGGATGGCGTCATCAAGTACGCGGGTGCCGAGGAGTTGCCGCATGTGTCACAACAACTGGGACGCGGTGCGGTCGCGATTTCGAGGTCCCCAAACAACTCATCTAATCGACGTCCATCCGACACAGCTGTGCAGGTGATTAACGTTTCCTTTAATTGAGTGTATGGGTCAGTCTCAGGCATGGTGATGATGAATTCAAACACCTGTTCCGCAACATCGGTCGGCAGAGAAGTGACTATATGGGAATACATAAGCGTCTGGGAACGGATGCAGTGGGCAAGGAAATGGGCTTCGTCTTGGGCGAACCATAACCGGGGGTTGTTAATACCGAATGCCGGCAGTTTAATGTGCGAAGACATGGGAAGGTCCTCTATGTCTAGTTTTGATTGCTCCATATGTGAAATATACCGGAAACAAGTAAAATAAAATGGAGAGAAGTTCCTGAAGAATCTGCGGTACCGTAGGAAAATATGACGCGATAGATAATCTAAACAAGGGCTCATAAAATATGTAGTGGAAAAGATACTACATATACGAATAATAATGAAATAAACGGTACAAGGAACGGACTCACCAAAGGATTGTCCGCTGGACGATTGATCCTGTTCTTGTGATGTGTGGCTCCGGTCGATGATGTGTAGAGGACCTGAATCGGATGACTGCGACAGTTAACGGACCGCTTAACGATAACTGATAATGCTTGCTTAATTCCTCAGCAACACTCAGAGAACACGTGCGTATTTACGAACAGAATTTTGTATTGTGTGTTAGGTGCTGCGCATATTAAAACAAGCTATACAATCAGGTCAAATAAAGTGGATAGAAAAGTAAGACACTACAACCTCACCGAATTACGACTCACCGAGGCATTCATTTATCCGATTGAGTGACAACCCTTTCCCTTTGTCCACTCCCGCGGAACTCGAGAGGAGATTGGTACAAGATCTGTAGTGAGCGGAGTCAAGGATGACCTCATCCAATTACGACTCACCGAGGCATTCACTTTTCCAAGTGAGTGACGACCTGATGCTCAACGTGTACCTGAAAGAGAGTGAGGGAGGAGACATAATGCGGAACTAGCTGTGGGTGGAGGTTCAAATGGAATAAAATGCACGCTCCTTGGTCGACCAGTAACGGTTTGCACCTCCGTCTGGAAATTGAGGGAACACAGGGGCAACATCCCAACCAGCACCATCCTCCTTAACCGAATTTGGCTGTGCCCTGGGTAAACTGCAACTAATGCGTCCTTCGCTTTGAACTGGTAAGCGGGCAGCATCCAAACGCGGCTTGAATCCAAAAGTTCAAGGTCATTTGATCGATCCCCATACTCCAAACCATAAAAAGGATCTCAACTAAGGACTAATGTGGCTGAAAAATTATTTCGCTTATTACAGACCCTGAACATAACGCCAGTATCAACAAAGCAGCAAACAACCAAGAAATTAAAAGGAAATTTATTTAACTGAAAAAAACAAAATAAATGATCGTTAATAAAAGTGAACGAGTTCTCGAAAAGATAATGTACCAATACCAAATCTTTCGGAACAATACCATTCATATAACAGTCGAAAGCTATTCTAAATAATATTCTGAAACGTTCAGCCTAAGATCATCGACGAATACGAAAAAAAACTAACTTTTTGTCACCTTTCGAAGTGTCCCATAGTGAAATTTTAAAACGAGCTAAACTCCATCAATAAGAACTGCACCCTCCATATAAGTGTCAAAAGCTATTCTAAACACTACTTTAACAGTAATTGACTTTCTCGACGGGGTTTGTGATCACTCCGTCGGCAATATTATGGAGAAATGGCGTGGGAATAGCATAAAACTCCCCAAACCGCATGCCCATGGACTAATCCACCAATTTTCTCTCGTCCACGTGTTCATTCCATCTGAGAATCGGCTCGGAAACGATTTACGTATTGCCTCCACAACATCCGATCTCAATTGGAATCTATACCGATATAATGGGCTCTGAACAGATTTAATGACTCAAAGACAAATAACTTAAATTGGTGTGGCTGTAAAAGGGCCGTTTTCAGTCACTTCGGGCTTTTGACGTCCACGCTCAGCGACTGAGGCGATGCACACAAACGTATGCTTCCTCTCCACTGTTAGCAGTGTAACAACTGTGTGTTCGGCGCCCGCATTTCTGGCACCGGATCCATTGTTGCTCATCGTCCAAATCGACCGTATTCCACGCAGATTTGCAGACACTGCAATAGTTGGCCTTCATCGGTGATGTCGGATTGGTTTGCCTTCTGCGTTTAGCGTCCAGTTTGTACTTCGCTGACGTCGTTGTTGTCAGTCTTCGGAACACAGCATGTTCCAGTGCATCACCTAGGACTATTTCGTCGTCTTCACTGTCGACTGATCTACTCACTAAAACTGATTTCCGCTTTTCATTCGAAACGCTTGTTGAAGCTACTGGTGGATTATTTGTTCTCACCTTGACGCTCGTAGACGGAAGACAGGTACGCTCAATCTCCGTAGTCTGTGTTGCCAAGCTCTGTCTATCAAATAATATCTGGATTTCCGGTTACTTCTATATCATAGCTGCTACACGTCGAAGTTGACTGCATTGAAAATTGTAACTTACTGTACCAAAACTATTCAAAGCGATGCCCAGCTATTGAAGGACATCTTTTGTCTGAGCCAACTTTGAGGGCTTACCCTTTACGTTTCTTGAGGCCGCTATTACCACAGTGGAGTTTTAAACTTAATGCTTTTCGCTGCGATTTATAATCTACCTATCTGGAATAAGACTTTGAGTATCCCAATTAATCAGATCGAATACCCTGGCTATATGCAACAACCATTGCGCATAGAAATAACACTCACACTTTTTTTCCCCTGCGGCAACTACTATATAACCTTGCCCTTACTATCCACGACCATGGAGAACCCTCTCTTGTGCACAATTCGTTCAATCTTACATGACTTCCAGTTACTTAGTAATATATTCCGCATAAATGGTGTTACTCGTATGAGCAACAGTTTAAACGACTGCATACCGCTGGGTGTCGGATGTCCCCTTATGGAATCTTTAGCAGGGCGAATTCCATGCGTCACTTCCAGTGACCTTACTCGTTGTAGCACTTCCTTTATTACATTCACTAATGAGAACCGAGGAGACAAGCCTGTCTGAAGGTGCCTATTTCCCGTCTACACTCGGTTGATAGTGAGATGTCCTAAAGTCAACCCAGTCCTCACGGCATGCCTTGTCCACTGCTCTCGGTATGGTAACCACGTTTGGCGTAAATAAACATTTGCTTCTGTGCTACGACTTTCTACGGCGGCTAGGAATCTACAAAACGATATCTCACTATCACAGCAAACCATATTCCGCATCCATTGAAAGATGCGCTGCTTTCGAACGTTGGCACATCAGATAGCTTGTTACATTTCTTCTTCATATCTTTAACAAGATGAAAACGACCAAATATCGCATTAGATGACGGAAAGTATTCTGAAAACACGTTGTACTGAGCCAAGCTACGATTAACTACTATAGTCTATCATTGTTCAAAGACTGGGCACAGATTTCATAGCTCCCACAGCACCGCTCTCATTCGGCGAGATGACGTAGAAGAAGCTTCTACCTAAACCGGTGTCGTCTAAAAGCGTAGCATGCCAAAGCACGTACCCGCCACAGTTTAGCTGATGTGTGGCGTTCTCTGACAAAACATCATTAAACCTGGCGACGTAGTGCAGCATAATCTCAGGAACAAAATAAATGTGACGAACGACGCCTTCGCTCAGCCATATCCTAATCTCTCTCTGATTTTCCAGCGTATCAATAACTTTCACCGCATCGCCACGTGAATCCGACTGAGACCTTCTTTGACGTATGGATCTTTGATCTGCTGTAGTTAAGGGTCTCTGGAACCTGTGTGTGGCGAAACCCCTTAGCTCGTGAATACTATTAAAATTGTCCATCAAAGTACACACTTCCTCTTCCTGTTCTCCAGATAGACGTCGATTACTTATATACAGAATCCGCTGACCCACATG